TCATACACCACCACAGTACGACAAACTGACAGATGAGCGATGTTGGAATGTGTTATAAAAATTTATTAAACATGAATTTGGAGTTTTCTCATTGAAGGGAAACAATCATCTTAAGTTTTGGGTTTCAAAATCATTTTAAAACATTACAAAATACACTTTTAATAAAGAGTCATAAAATGCAAGTTAAAATCAGATGTCATGGGCAATCTTAAGAGTTTATTAAAAAGATAAACTATTATGAATGCTTATGGATTTTTATTTATATTAATTCCCTGATGTGTTTTTTTTTTTTTACATGTATGAAACCCTTTCTTCCTGTCCAACATGAATTATAAAAAAAAAAGCTATTTTGTACTAAACGTTAAATTTTAGAACATTTTCAATGGTCCATAAGGTTTAACGTATTGATAGCTATAGGTAAAAAAAAGAAGAGTAATATATTTTAACATAACTATATAAGGGAAAAGAGCACCCATCATTTAGATTTTGGAAAGAAATGCAGCTTTTTAGTAAGCATTGAGGCAAAGCAGGGAACCTGCTTCTTTCCGATTGCATTTGGGTCTTTGCAGACGTCCACCCGGCGCAGAGACACTTTCCTGTTCACCAGTGTGAGGAGTTCTGTGAACTCTAAGGAGGAACCGAATTTCCCCATCATCTCACACAAATCTTGAATGTACCATGAGCCGTTCACAGTTTCCCGGTGAGAATAATAACCTAAAAATGATGGAAGGAAGAAAAAGGACCTTGAAGTTTTCTGGGATCAAAAACCCCCTTTAGTTACAGAAATCTATATTCTCAAAATTCCTCAAAGAGGACTAAGATGTATGCATGGCACAGTTTTTAAAAATTTTCTCAGGTGGGAAAAGAGGTTCATTCTATATAATCTCTCCCTTTCCTTAAATGTTTCTGAGATGCTAGGCTGAAGATAATTTTGAGAGGCAAGAGAGTATTTGAAGTAAAACTTTCACAGCAAAGGAAACTCACCAAAATAATTTTCACAATGCTACTGATGATTATTAACACTATCACCATCAGTGGAGTACTGGTGGAGCTGTAGTGTAAGCATGGGACTGTCAATAACATGGCTGGAGGTTCTAACACACCAGTGGATCCACAGAAAAAAGATGAGGCTTTCTGTTCCAGTACAGATTTACAGTCTGGGAAATACGATACAAAGTGGCTCTGAGTTAGAATCACCTTGATGGCTTTTTTGTTTTTAATTATCATCAGTAATTAATTGTAGGCTGCAGTATGGAGGGTCCGCCAACTTCAAGGTTGGCCATTCATACCCTGCAGCTGCTCATTGAAATCCTATACAGAGTCACTAGGAGCTAGAACTGATTTGCAGGCACACAGCAACAATAATATTTAATATAATTAGATTTGTTGCTTTAATTAAGATAGCTCTTCGAAGTGATTATTTTGATGGAATTTTATCATTGCTTTGGGATCAAAGAAATCTATTCTAAGTCTTCACAATGGGAAGATCTGACCCAAATCAAAGGAAGCTGAAACTTGGAGAAACTCAACCAAGACAGTCAACTGTATGTTTGTATTAAACCCCAACACACCTTCTGCAACAGAGTAACACATGAGGAAGTCTGCTCCAGCAGGCAGTGTGTACACTGAGGCCGCATCCACCTCGGTTACATTGGTGCCTAGCCTGTCTTTCGGATTATCCACTTCATCCAAAGGTATGACTGGTACATCATGCTGGTTTCCCCGACAAGCCTACAAGACAAAAATGAATTCCATCTCATTACCTACTGATTTCTTCCCAATGCTTAATGTTTACAGTGAATAAATAATTTCATAAACCTTCATATCAACCCAAGAGAAGGTACTTCTAACACAACATATTCTAGTTTGCTGTTGTTACTGTCAAGTCATCTACAACTCATGGAGATCGCCCGTGTGACAGAGTGAAACACTGTCCAGTCCTGCAGTTTCTTCATTCATATGGCTGAGTTCACTGTGGCCACAGTGTATTTCTGTGCTTTCCACTCTAGAGGGCTCATCTTCCAGCCCTACATTGGGCAGTATTCTGTTGTGACCCATACGGTTTTCATTGGCTAGTTTTTGGAAGACAGACAAGCTGCCCCACTGAAATCTATCCATCACAGATGGCCCTGCTGGTATTTGAAATACTGGTGGCTTACCTTCCAATATCATAACAACATACAAGCAAATTGTACAATGAGAAACTGACAGGTGGGTGATGGACAGTCAGCTGTGGAGGGGACTAGAGCTAAGTGATTGTTCAGTGGTAGAATTCTCACACTTCCTGCAGGAGACAGACTAGAGTCTCAGCCAGCATACCTCATGTGCACCCCCCATCTATCTTGTCAGTGGAGGCGTTCATGTTGCTCTGATGCTGGGCAGTTTCCACACTATGAGAACTGGAGGAATCACACCACTTCGATTCACAACCAATTAGGGATGGCCCAGGACTGGGCAGCATCTTGTTACATTGTGGGTGGGGTTATCTTCCCTACTTGTGTTTTTGTTTAGTTATACTGTAAATAGTGCTTTAAAAAAAAAAAAAAAATTCCTAACTACATACCAAATTATGTTGTCTGATAGGTACACTGTACAAGAGAAAACCTCAGTAGTTTTAGGTTTTGTTCTGGATTAACCACACCCATAACACAATAACACAAGAGTTGTTCTTTCTTTCCATAGTGACACTATTTACCTAAGAGTTTCTATTTAATCAGGTAATATATTTCAGATTGAGTTTTGTTTGCTTGTCTGCTACAACAAATTGTTTAGGGTCAAAGGATACAGCCTATCCTGAGAAAACAGCTATTCTGTTTTCCTCCTACTTTAAGGTGCAGCTTCAGATCCATTCAAAATCGTACTGATTCACAAAGAATTGTAACTTTAATTTTTACTCGAAAATGAACTAGCAAAATTCCGTTGTGGTATTATAAGTGATTTCAGAATTATCAAATAAGAGATCCCCAATATCCAATTTTTACAAGGAGGTTTTAATCTTATTATCAGTTTATTTTCAGACCTTATTTTCTAGATCCCCTTAAGATTTAATGAAATCACTTTCAGGGTCATTTGTAGTAAGAATAAGTTGTTGTTGCTGTGAAGTTGGTTCTGACTCATAGCAATCCTGTATAGGGTTTCCAAGAAGTAGCTAGTGGGTCGGAACTGCCGACCTTCTGGTTCACAGTCCAGTGCTGATCCTACACACCAGGAGTCCCAGTAAGAATAAGAGCTGGTCTTTATTGCAGGCTTTGAGTTCTGGTATGGTGCTATAAGATACAATCTAGAATGCTAACCACAAGGTCAACAGTTCAAACCCACCAGCTGATCTCAGAAACCCAATACAGGGTCACATAGTAACAACAACAATACCTGTTTGGCACAAAGTGGAAACAGCATTTTGGTTTAAGAGAAAATGAAAAAAGGATGCGGTGAAGCAAGGGAGAGAACTGTTTGTGTTTGCATTCTTCCCACTGGTGTGTGTTCAACCATTTCAAGACGTAGCATATGATCAAGAGCCAATGGTACTGAAATAAGAAATCCAAGGTGCACCGAAGGCATTGGCAAAGACCAAGGCTCCGGAAATTGATGGCGTACAAACTGAAATCTTTCAACAAACTGATGCTGCACTGGAGGCCCTCACTCATCTATGCCAAGATATTTGGAAGACAGCTACCCCAGCCAACTAGTTGGAAGATTTCCATGTTTTTGCCTAGTCCAAAGAGAGGTGACCTAACGGAATACAGAAATCATCAGATAATATCAATATCACATGCAAGTGAAATTTTGCTGAAGATAAAAAAAATGGCTGCAGCAGTATATTGACAGGAAACTGCCAGAGGTTCAAGCCAGATTCATACAACAACATGGAACAAGGGATGTCACTGCTTACATGAGATGGATGATAATGCGTGTAACAACTTAAGACTTTAACAACACATGCTCCCTTACAGTCCCCGGATGAGCCCAAGAAGTTAGAGAAATGTAAGTCAGGGGACACTTAATTTTAATTATTCCCCAAGTTTAGCAAGTGCTCTTCCCCTCCCTCTGCTTTATGCAACTACTTAATGTTCTGAGACAGCAACTTGAAAGCAGCACGGAAAACTGAGTGGGAAAATAACAAGGATACATGAAGACTTCATTCTGCTTGGATCCATTATCAGCACTCAAGGAAGCAGTAGTAAAAAAATCAAACGATGTACTGCATTAGTAAAATCTGCTGCACAAGGCCTCTTTAAAGTGTTCACGAACACAGATATCAGTTTGAGGACTAAGGTGCGCCTGACCCAAGCCACAAGATATTCAATAGCCTAATATGCCAGAGCAGTCCTGGTGTGGTGCTGTGTGGGTTAATGCGCTGGACTACAAAGTTGGTTTGAACTGCAAGGTCGATGGTTCAAGTTCACCAGCCACTCCACGGAAACCCCATGCAGTTGGCATTGACTCGATGGCACTCAATATATGCCAGAAGAACAAATAAATCTATGTTGGAAGAAGTACAGCCAGAATGTTCCTTAGAAGCTAGGATAGCTAGACTTCATCTTTCATACTTTGGACATGTTGTCAGGAGGGACCAGTCCTTGAAGAAGGACATTATGCTAGGTAAAGTGGATGGAGGGTCAGCAGCGATAAGCTCAAGCATAACAAAGATTGTGAGGATGGTGCAGGACCGGGCAGTGTTTCAGTCTGTTGTGCATAGGGTGGCTAAGAATAGGAGCTAACTCGATGACATCTAACAACAACACGCTAGAGAACACGTGTCAGTCCCTTCTGACATCCATTTGGCCTTTTCCTTCTTTCTTGTCCTTTAGTGACCTTTTGCTTTCTACCTGCATTATGTTTTGGATGTCATCCCACAACTCTTCTGGTCTTCAGTCATTAGTGTGTAATGTTATCAAATCTGTTTTAGAGATGATCTCTAAATTCAGGTGAGATATGTTCAAGGTCATATTTTGGTTCTGCTGGACTTGTTTTTAATGTTTTTTCAAGTTCAGTTGAACTTGCATATAAGCAGTTGATGGTCTGTTCCATAGTCTGCCCCGGCCTTGTTTTGGCTGATGATATGGGGCTTTACCACTGTCTCTTTCCACATATGTAGCCAATTTGATTTCTCCACATTCCATCTGGTGAGGCCCAAGTATCTTCAGTGAAGAAGTCATTGGTCTTGCAAAATGTTATCAGCTGCTCTATCTCTCCATGCCAGCACCTCTGCCTCCATCTCTGGTGTCGCTACTTCTCTGGTTAGGATCCCACATTCTGCTCATTCTCCTCTCTCTTGATGGTCCTGGAATGTAAAATTAACTACTCTCCCCTTTTTGTTACACAATTTCTACCTTTACAGTTGTGACTATTGTAATTAGTCATGATAACAATTACTGTCAAAATAGATCTTGAAATCTTTTTGATGACAAATGTAACACCATTCCTCTTCAATTTGCCTTTCCCAGCATAGTAAACCATATGATTGTCAGATTCAAAATGGCCAATACCAGTCGATTTCACCTCACTAATGCCTAGGATATCCGTCTTTATTTGTTTCATTTCATTTTTGTTAACTTCCAATTTTCCTAGTTTCATACTTCCATGTTCCGATTATGAATGGAGGTTTACAGTGGTGGCTCTTCATTTTGAGCTTTGCCCCATCACCAAATAAAGGTTCCAAAAGCTTTACTCCAATTGTATCATTATGGCAGTCCCTCCTCAGTCGAATTTTAAGTGTCTTCCAACCTGAGGGGCTCATTTTCTGCACTATGTCTGACAATATTCTGGTGCTCTTTCTAGTGCTATTCATAAGGTTTTCAGTGGCTAAACATTTATAAGTATACGTCTCCTTCTTCATAGTCTGTCTTAGTCTGGAAGCTAAACTGAAACCTGTCTGCTATGGGTGACCCTGCTGGTATTGAAAATACTAGATGGAATAGCTTCCAACATCACAGCAACACACAAGCCATCGCAGTACGGCAAACTGACAGAGGAGTGGTGGAAAATTGACTTTAGACCTTCATAATCTCATGCATGGACTTTATAATTAAGATGATAAAATAATCAATCTTACCTGGATTATAAATATCTTGGGTTTTCCAACGAGGCTCTGACATTTGTCTCCTTTGAACAAACCTGTCAATGTCTGAATTTCAATTTTGGCGTCATATGCGTAAATGTGATTGCCTTCGCCGTGACTCAGGAAAACACACAGAAAGCAATCGGCATCGGTATGACTAGAGGTCGATGCTATGAGGCCCCCATACAGAAAGGAAAACAAGATGCTGGTTAACTATGACAAACAGAAATTCAGTTTACTAAAATTAGAATAAAGATATCATTTGTGTGTGGGGGAGATTTATTATTGCTATATTTATAACGCATCTGTAATGAAACACAACTCAGTTTGTTCTTCAATCAAATAATTATATCATGCTGCATTTTATTAAAGTTCAGAGTAATAACATTTGGCCAAGTTCATTAGCTTTTCTAAGTGTTAACCAGTACCTGTTGCCCTTGAGTCAACTCTAACTCATGACAACCCCACGTGTGTCCCAAGTACAGCTTTGCACCATACGTTTTTTGTTTGTTTGTTTTTTTGGCTAATTTTTCAGAAGCAGATTGACAGGCCTTTCTTTCAAGGTACCTCTTGTTGTTGTGAGGTGCCGTTGAGTCGATTTCGACCCATAGCGACCCTGTATACGGTTTCCTAGGAGCATCTGGTGAGCTTGAATCACTGACCTTGCAGTTCAAATGGCTTTGCAGTCTGGCGCATTAGCACACAGCACCATACCAGGTGGACTTAAATCTTGAAGCTTTCAATTCGTTGGCAGCCGAGTTTGTTGACTGTTTTCATCACACAGAGTAATTAACAATGTGGAATAGATAACTGGATTGTTGCTGGGAACCTCCTTTAAGATCTGAGTCACTTGAATGATAAATTTTAAAAAGTTTGACTCAGTAGAGTGCTTGGTGCACAGACTAGAAAGGCCCAGAAACTAGTACTCAACAACTCTGGGTATTGCTGCACCTCTGCTGAATGCTCATCCTTCACTGTATGCCTACAGCACTTAGGGCTTCCAAGAGTCAAAACATGAGATAAATGTCATCCAAAGCTTATGAGCAAAGTAGGAAAAAACCTGGAAAGCAGCCAGTGAAAATTCCTATGATTTACACAGATTAAAGAACATGGAAGAAAGTATAAAATAATTATGCAAATTCCCTAACAGTCTACTGGCAAGTGACTTGAAAATCCATGGCATGCAATAAGTAGTAAGATAAATCTAAATTGTATTATAATTAGAAAACTACTGCATAGTAATATTAGGGAATGTGGAAATTAAGAGAGCGTCTATGTAACTCAACCTGATTTTAACCCAGTGAAAAGCAGGGACTCAGTTAAGAAATAGTCTACTGACTGCCCAGGATCAGTAGTATTTGCACTTTAGACATTTAATGCTAAATGAAAAGGACATTTTAATCAATTCTTGAGGTACAGACTGTACTACTGTTTTAGTTGCTAAGTGCCCTCAAATTATTTCCAATTCAGAGCGACCCTGTATGGGGTTTCCAAGAGCAGCTGTACCGGTGGTGGTTGTGTGCCATGGAGTTGGTTCTGACTCACAGAGACCCTGTATAGGGTTACCGAGGTTGTAAATCTTCATCTTTGTCTGGCTACCAAGCTAAATATAAACATTGGAGGCATAAGACTTTGCAAGGGTCTCTAAATCTCCTAGTGTGATGCTGTAGGGTACGCACTGGACTGCTAACCACAAGGTCGCCAGTTCAAATCTATCAGCCGCTCCTTGGAAACCCTATACAGAGTCGCTTTTAGTTGGAACCAGCTCAACAGACCTTAACAAGAAAACCTAAATCTGGTGGACAGCATACGCAAACACAACTGAAACCTCTAACCCATGCTAAATTAACTGACAACATGGCTGTTTTACAACAAACAGCTAATTACTTGCATCTGCCTTTACATAGCAGACAGCTAAAATACCCATTCCCACCAGAAGAAGATGAACTTAATAGGAAAACTACATACCCTCATGAATTTGGAGCAGTAGTTCTTCCGCTTTAAGATTGTTAAAGCATTTCACTTCAAATCCTAGATCTGAAAGCCTGGTGATATATTAAATTGAATATTAACTTACGGGCTCTTTAAAGTTGTATCCCTAACTTCACTCTTGAAGACTCAAACCACATCTTTACGACATATAATTTTACTTTTGGGGAAAGGAGTATCAAATGTGATAATGATGGTTTGACGTAATCACCTACAGTAGGAAAAAGATTTAATCAAAATAAGCCAGTATTCTTTAGAACATTGTCATCTACTATGTAAATATGTTAGTAACAATGTGAGTTAATAGTGTTAACAGTAAGGTAAGAGAGGAACTGAGACAAGCTCTTAAAGAAAGGCTGCTCACTGGAAGCCCATCCTCAAATGCACTGGCTCCTGGCTCTCATCAGTGCTAACAAGTTATGGTGAGTCATTCTGCTGGAAACTTTAAAGCCTCATCTTCACTTATAGATAAAACTACCTGCGTTTAAGATTGTCTCTGTCTGCAGTGGTGCCACGCCTTTCTGGCAGTGTCAAGTGCCAGAAAAATCTCTCATGATTGAAGATTAAAGCAATGCCTCTCTTCTTGTGGTCCATTTTGTACTTTTCTGCCGGGTCAAATGCATCACTGTTAACGAAAAGTTTGAAAAACAATCATGCCAAGTTGTATTAAACAATGGCCTCCTCTGAACCCAAGGTCAATTGAAACTGCTTCCTAGCTTTACTACATTTTGCCTTACTAAACATTCATAGGAGTCCTGGTGTGGCGCTGTAGGATAAGCACTCAACCACAGGTTGGTTTGAACTGCAGGGCTGGCGGTTCAAACTCACCAGCCACTCCTCGGAAGCCCTACACAGGGTCGCTGTGAGTTGGAATCGACTCAACAGAACAACAACACATGTTCATTGGAACATTCTATTTTGGACAGTAGGGAAACCTGCACCGGTGGGGGAGTCCTGAAATACTTCTGTACGGGTTGTTAACCAGTCATTGTCCTCAGCACCCTACCCCCTCCACACAGATGCTTTCTCCACCACCCCCAGCTGTAGGGCTCGTTCCCTAAACTTAATCATTAAATATTTTGAGCATCAGTTCAGGTCTTCTAACAACCAGGGGCATTAACAACCCGCATATCTACCAGTTAATTCCCCAGATGCTCAAAGTTGACACTTTCAGTTTCACTGTCTCCTCCCAGATCCCTTTGCTGCTTTGATTTCCACAGGCTGATCATGTCTGCCTGCTGCTTCCTCCAAAGGAGACGCCTGTACTAGAAAGACCACATTTCTTACCTTCTATAATACAAGGCATCTGTTTCCGTCATGTTTTGCTCCCCACCTATAAAAAGCAACAACAACACACACAGAAAATGAAAAAAACTAAGTTTTGTTCATTTACTTTGTGATTTATGGGAGTAAATATTGTAGACTCTCCCCATCCCCTTCAACTTCTACTATAAGAGAAGTAGAAGGGAACTGCTTGTTAAAATAACAAAATAACTATAAATTAATAACTCAAATTATTCAAACCTTCAGCTCTTATCTCCAAAATAACAATTCTTATAAAGAAAAATTGAGAAAAATATTACTCAGTCATTCACTACAAAGTCCTATAATTATGAAGCTTGAATAAAGTAAGAAACTGCTTTGTTATATATAAAATACATACTTTTTTGAATTATTTTGCAAAGATTCTCTAAAGCAGAAGTCATACAGAACTGAAATTATGAAAAATTGAAAATAGAAGTCTGTGGTTACATTTGGATTTTGTAATAACCTAGAATAGGCAGAAGTTTGGGTACTGAAAGGAAAGGGGCAGGGGCAAAGGCATATGACACAGAATTTACATCTCCTATGGAACACATGAAGGAGCTCTGGTAGCGTAGTGGTTACAAATCGGGCTGCGAACCTCAGGATCAGCAGTTCAAAACTACCAGTTGTTACGCGAGAGAAAGACGAGGCTTTCTGCTCCTGTAAAGATTTATAGCCTCGAAAACCCTGTACAGGGTTGCTCTGAGTCGGAAACAACTCCACAGCACATAACCACCACCACCAGCCAACACATGGGAGTCCTGGTGTGGCACAGTGGGTTAATGAGCCAGACTGCAAAATTGTTCTAACTGCAAGGTTGGTGGTTCAAGCTCACCAGCTGCTCCTCAGAAACCCTATACAGGGTTGCTATGGGTCGGAACTAACTCGACAGCACTTTAACAACAACAGACGACACATGGGAGTCCTGGTGTGGTGCTGTAGGGTAAGCACAGGACCAGAAGGCCTGTTTGAACCACAAAATTGGTGGTTCAAACTCACCAGTCACTCCTCAAAAACCCTACACTGGTCACTATGAGTTGGAACTGACTCTATGGCACTTAACAACAGATGACACCTAAGCATTCTGGTAGTGGGCTATGAGTTGGGTAACTGCAAGGTTAGCAGTTAAAATCCACCAGTGCTGCTCCACTCAGTGGGAGCGCCCATAAAGGTTTATAGCCTCAGGTCACAACGAGTCAGAAGTGAAACAAAGTGTATGATTTGTTGAATGTAAAACTAACTTTCTTCTCTGGAAACCTGCACTCAATTCACAATGAAATTTTTTTAAAAAAGATTTGCACTAGGCAAATCTGCTGCATAAGACCTCTTAAAAGCGTTCAAGAGTAAAGATGTCAGTTTGAGGACTAACTAAAGTGCATCTAACCCAAGTCATGGTATTTTTAATAGCTTCATATGCATATGAACATTGGACAATGAATAAGGAAGAAGGTAGAAGAATATTAAAAGTACCATGGACTGCCAGAAGAACAAACAAATCTGTGCTGGAAAAAGTAGAGCCAGAATGTTCCTGAGAAGCCAAGATGGTAAGACTTTGTCTCTCAGACTTCAGATATGTTATCAGGAGGGACCAGTCCTTAGAGAAGACCATCATGCTAGGTAAAGTTAGTGAAAAAGAGGAAGACACCAAAAGAGATGGATAGTTTGGCAGCAGTGATGGGCTCAGCATTAACAACAACAATTGTGAGGATGGCGTAGGACCAGGAAGTGTCTCATTCTGCTGCTCATAGTCACTATAAGTCGGAACCAACTCGATGGTACCTAACAACAACAACAACAACCTTTATGGGTAGGCGCTCTCATGGTGTAGTGGGTTACAAAAGTTTGGCTGCTAACTCCAAATTCAGCAGTTCAAGTCCAATCCACCAACTGCTCCATGAGAGAAAGAGGAGGCTTTCTGCTCCTGTAAAGATTTGCAGCCTCAGAAACCATACACAGGGTTGCGGTGAGTCGGAACCGACTCCATGCCAATGGATTTAATCTTTATGGGGGCAGGTGTCCAGGTCTTTTTTTCTGTGGAGCCCAAAGTAGTTTGGAACCACCTACCTTTTAGCTAACAGCTGGAGGATTTAAATATGGCTCCACCAGAGCTCTTTGAAACCAATCATTCTACGGAGAAACAGATGAACTTCAAAGCAAACAGACTATGTCTGAAAGCCTTACCTGCAGAGTCCAGAAAGCACCGAGTCTTCTCGTTGGCAGACAAAGTGGCAGCAGACGCAGTAAGCTCCTTCTCCTCAAGCTTTTGCACCTTAGCAGTTGCTGAGCCTAAGAGGGTTCAAAGTGTGCCTGGTGGGGGCGGTGCCAAATGGCTGCTCACCTAACGAACTCAAGTCCTTGCAGGTGAAAGTACTGGAGGGGGAGGCTCTATTGCATCTTTAATACTACATTTGTCCTCCAAGGGTTAGTCAAAAAGTATTACTACAAGTTGCCTTAACTAGAAATATCAAAATGTGAAGCTATTGTTTTTTGACATAGCCTCCACCTAGTTCTAAACACTTCTGAAGGTGAAGTTTCTACTTCACCTTCACTGGAGAATTCTGCACTCTTCAGTTCACACACATCAAAATGGCAGTTTGAGATACACAAAGAACATTGAAAAGAAACACAATATGAGTGTTTCTTTTCAATGTTGTGTTTTTTTTCATATTGTGTTTCTTTTCAATGTTGTGTTTTTTGAACAAAAAGACGTCGGAAGGCACAAGATCAGGACCGTAGGATGGATGGGGTAAGATTTCCAATGAAATGCTCATGGACAGTGGTACCCTTGAAGAATGCTGGAGGGGAAATTCCCCTGTGCAACTTTCCTGACCTTTTTCTCACCAATGCAAATTTTCAAATTTTCTTAAAACTTCTTCATAATAAGCCCCTGCAATCATCCTGTGTCCTCTGAGAAAACTTATCAAGACAAGAGTCACCTTAACCTTCTGAGCTGACCTCCCTGCCTTGACTTTAACTGGTCCAACAGATCCCCTTAGAAGGCATTGTTTTTTGAAGACTCCCTAACAAGACTAAGACAGACAAGTGCCTTACTGAGAGAATGTGTCTGTAGTCATCCACTGATGGCAGAGACATGTTTAAACATGTTTTGCTTGGAATCAACCTGTGGAACCCTGCTAGGTTTTTTTTTTTTTTACTGACTCTCGTAGTTTCAAAGGGGCTTCACAATTCTCCCTATTGTGGTGTGCCACCAAGTGGATTTTGATTCAGCAATACTGATCCTGCAGAATAGAACTGCTTCAAAGTGTTCCCAAGGCAACAGTTCTTATGGGAGCAGATCCCCAGATCTTTTCTCTGGTGGAGCAGCTGGTGGGTTTGAACTGTTGACCTTTGTGGTTATCAACTGAGTGCTTAACCATATGTCACATACAATTCTTCCTGTTGTTGTTGTTAAGTGTCATCAAGTTGGTTCTGACCCATAGCGACCCTGTGCAGGGTTTCCAAGAAGCAGTTGGTGAACTTGAATCGACCTTGAAGTTCAAACCGACTTTGCTATCCAGCTCATTAATGCACAGCGCCACACCAGGACGCCACGATTCTTCCTACCTAGATTTGATTTAAGACGTTCGGGTTGTCTTAAATATTGCTCTCAGCTTAGTCAAAGCTTACTCACCTAAACCATGGCTAGTTTGTGTAAGGGTAGCTGCTCAAAATGCTTGGTTTAAAATAGAAAAACTCTGTTTCTATTTTACACAATATAGCAATCTCAGTGAGGATTTATTTTTATATTATTATTTTTAATGCTATGGGTGTGCCAAGAAACTGAAATCTGGAAACTTGGTTCAGTCCTGGCCAGCTCTGTCTTCACTCAGTCACACCTTTCTGACCTCAAGTTCCTTTTGTATAAAATAAGGGAGACTATTTCCACACTAACACTTTAAAATTCTACTATAAATGTCTTCCTTTACCCTACAGCACCAATTAAAGACCTGGTCTCACAGCCCTTTTAACAAATACTGAGTCAGAACTGAAAGCCAGGGAGACAGACTTTAAAACTTAAGTTCCAACAACTTCCTGGAGTTGATAAACTTTACCCACAGATTCTAGAGAAAATAATAGAGCATGCCTAGTAGCACAGTCACCGTAAGCCGTATGTACTGAGCAAACAAGCATTCAAGAAGGGTGTGTGTTAACAAATATCGTTATACAGCAGAAAGACACAAACTGTCTAAAACCATAAATGGTTTGGCTGTGGTGGGGAAAATAAAGTTTAATGAAAATGCTTTACATAACAGATTTTAAAATTCCTTTTCATCTGCAACTGGATTATCAAAAACGATGTCTGTCACTAGACCTTATCCTTGGTCTCTTTTTCTGTTTGCACTTGATGTAAATATTTTTCCTTTCTAACCAGAATGCAACCACCATATTTTAATGCAACCACCATATTTTAGTTCTGTAAATTACTTTAACTTTTATAAAACCAATCACTTCTCTTTCCCTCATCCAAATTTGATCATCTCTACTGGTGTGGTGCTGTGGGATAATGCACTGGACCACAAGGTCAGTTTGAACGGCAAGGCCGGTGGTTAAAATTCACCAGTCACTCCTTGGAAACCCTATGCAGGGTTGCTATAAGTCAGAACTGACTTGAAGGCACTTAACAACAACGATAACAGAGATAATCCAAGAAAGCCATAGTAGCACAGCTGTTAAGCTTTGCTAACCCAGAAGCTTAGTTCCTCAAGAGAAAGATCTGGCGATCTGCTTCGACACACATTCTCACCCAAAACTCATCATTGAGTCGATTCCAACTCATAAGGACCCTCCCTGTATGACCGCTCTGTATGGTTTCAAGGACTAACAGAAGTAGACTGCTATGACTTTCTCTGGTGAAGTGGCTGGTACTCAGCCACTGTGCCAGCAAAGCTCCCCATATAGCCAAGAAAATCCTATGGGGGCACTTGTGTCTCACGGAGTAAATATGAGTCAGGATCAGCTAGACAGCACACAACAGATAATTCTACCAGCAGTTGGCAGTTTGGCACGTTAGTTACCTATCAGCTCCAC